AAGGCCTCCACCCCCTGCAAATATGGTAGCTCTTACGGGCTGATTTGATGTCTCCCCAAAATTCATACATGAAAATCCTTCCCCGAGGAGCTTACAGTGTGATTGTACATGGAGATAAGGTCTGCGAAGAGGTCATTAAGTTAAAGAGAAGTCACTCTGACGGGCTCTAAGATGCCTGGCATCCTTTGGAGAAGAGGCGATTAAGACACAGACATGCGCAGAGAGAGACCGCGGGAAGTCACAGAGAACAGCCAACAAGAGCAGGGTGCAGCAGTGCACCCCTGTCATCCAGCACTCTGGGAGGCTGAGGCAGGAAGATCACAAGTTTGAGCCCAGCTGGGCAATTTAGTGAGACCCTGTCTCAAAATCTAAAATAAAAAAGGGCTGCAGATGTAGCTCAGTGCAAAGGCCCTGGGTTCTACCCCTAGCACTGAAAACATAGCTGTGCGCTCTGAGAAACCAAGGCAGGGAGTCTGGAGGGCTGAAGGTTGGGCCTGCCAGTTGTCCAGGTCCAGAGAGCTGAGGAGCCAGCAAACAGTTTATTTTATTTTATTTTTTTGATCAAAATATGAATTGCTGGGCATGGTGGTACAGGTCTATAAGCCAAGCTACACGGGAAACTGAGGAAGGAGGATTACAAATTCAAGGGCAGCCTGGGCAATTTAATGAGACCCTGTCTCAAAATAAAAAATAAAAAAGACCTGAGGAGGTGCAAAGGCCCTGGGTTCTGTCCTCTGTGAGCTCCCCTTTAGGTTGTAGCTAGGTCTCTAGCATGGGGTGGGGGTGGGGGAGAGAAAAGAAGCGAGGAAGGATGGAATGGCTGACAGGGTCTCTTTGGCCATGCTCTAGGCAAGCTGGGTCACGCTTCCTGGCTGTTCCTGCCATCTTGCTTGGGTCGCCCTGAGCCAGGGCCCTCCTGCCTCCTGACCCATCCTTCAGGGCTCCCCAGCTCTGCTCCCTCCCTCAGGGGTCCCTAGCTGTCCTGTGTCCTGCCTGGAAGACCTCACCTTCCTCCAGCCTGTAGTCTTTGCCTGGTAAATTGCCTTTGCTCTTTTTCTTTTCCCTTTCTTTTTCATTTTTTTTTTTTTTTTTTTT